CAAAGTGGGTTCCCGCCAGCCCGCTCTAAAAGCCGGTGTCTTCCAATTATCCCTCTGCTAATTACTAATTCTCCCCAATTTATAGATCTTTTGATAACGTGCTGCACGCCAGGCACCTCCAGACCCGGGAGGAAAACCACCCCAAATCCTCATTTTCAGCCATTTGGTTTTAGCAGATTTCAAAACAGGGAAACCCACAAGGATCTCGCGCTGCACCCAGCCATGGGACCCCCCGTTTTGGGGGATTTTGGGTTAAAAATGTTCTTTTTTTTTTTTACCTTGCAGGTTTGATAGCGTCGTTATGGGAACGCTCCCGAGCTGGGTCAGAATAAGGCTTGGGATACATCATAACAACTTCATTGAACAAAAAAAAAAAATAATAAATCAGCATTCGGGCTAAGCCCGCGCTAACGAAGGCGCCAAAACCCGCGCGCCCTCGGCTCCCTTCCTTTCCCAACTCGGGAATATTTGCTCAGAAGGCAACAAATCAACATTAAATCCCCGAAATTTCAGACCGATCCACAATTTCCCGCTGCCGGGCTATCGCTTCCGGAGTTCCAGGATGTTCAGTTCCTGTTTTCCGTTGGGTTTTATATATATATTTTTTTTTTTCCAAGGCTACTTTCTGTTTCTCTGGCTCCGCGCCATCTCCCTCCTCCTTCGGCCTTCGCCATCGCCTCGGAGCCAGAGTCAGGATCGTGCGGAGCCTTTTGGAAAAGTTATAATTAGTAACGCTCCTCCCGCTTGCAGTTAACGAGCGGTGACGGGGACGCGAGCGGTTAACGAAGGAGCGACGTTCCCGCCCCCCGCTCCCTCCCGCCCAAAAAAATACTGGGAACGGTAACGAAGCTGCTTCCTCCCATTGAAAATTGGGATTGGAAAAACCCAACAGGCAAATTTTGCTCCTCAAAGGCACGCCGGCATTTCCAAAATGCTTCGGTCTTAGTTGTTTTGGATAGAAAGTCCCAATTTTCCTCGAGTTCCAGATGAAGGCAACGACGTTCCTGGAGGAAAAACTCAAAAATATCACGGAAGAGGGGATGAAACGCGCCCAAAAAGAAGGAATTTTGGGTCTCTGGGGGTTTGGGTCCTCCTCCCCAGCTCCCAGCTGGGAATTTCAGTCTCACGTTGAGGTATTCCGCGGCATTCCCCATCCCGACGCCTTTCCCTTGATGCTCCAAGCCATATCCGGGTCCATCTTGTCCCGACGGAGCTTTTCCCCCGCCCGGAGGCGGCCGTCGTAAGGTGGGAGACGTGAATGAAGACACCACACGTTGGTCGTACCCCAAAACTGCTCTTAATCCTTTTGGTCGTTGAAGCGGAGAGAAAGGCAACGCTGGTTTTCCGACGCCTTCCCCGCTGAAGTTCCCAGAGGCTCGGAGAAATCGGGAGCGGAAAACCCCTGCGCCGGAATTTAACTTTGGCTCTCGACCCAAAATGACCTCTCGGTATTTTCTCCGAATCGCTATTTAACGAAGATCAAACCCTTTGGAGCCATTTAATAAAAATCAGAGGTCGCAGAGCGCTTGCTCGGAACCGAACCTGGGCATTTTTATCATGAAAATCCCCAAAACCAAACCCCAAAACATCCCAGCTCGCTCGACGGGAGCTTCGGCAGCGCAAACGTTGGCGATAAACCCGGCGATATATCGATATCCGATCGGTAAATTAATCTCTTGTGTGGGTATAGCAGGATCCAGGTCCTTTTTCCATCCCGGTGAATTATCCGTGGCTTGATTCTGGAAGTTTTAGAGCGAGACGAGGACTCCTCCGTGCACCCAGGTCTTCGCAGTCCCGGCTAAGGGAAGTTATTTTGGTGTTTTGGTTTGTAAGAACCGAAGGGAACGGGCTCAAAGCAGCCGGGGGACTTTGCCGGGAGGGGAAGGGGGATCCAGAAGCGGCACGCGAGCTCGCCACGGTGGGATTCCCTGGCTCTGCCGGGCAGCTTCCCCTTTCACATCCGCTTGGCGGAGCCGCTCTTGGCATCGCACCAATCCTCACCC